TTCTCCTTCTCCTTCTCCTTCTCCTTCTCCTTCTCCTTCTCCTTCTCTTTCTTGTCCATTTTTCCACCACTTACTTGTTCCTCTTAGTGGCACCTGGGGTCTCTGAGTGTCTGGAGTCATCTAGGAGCAGTCTCAGGAGTATTATGACCTGCCCATGCATTATGGTACTGGGCAGGGGTCATCTCAGCCATAATCTGCCCCCTCTCCTAGGCCCGCATGGCACTTGACTGATGGTCAGCTTATGTTAGCTCCATGTCTGGGCCCATCCAAGTGGCCCCATGTGAATGCCATTTGTCTCAGGCTTATTCCCATCTGGGTCCATGGTGTTAGGTCCCCACCCTGGGAGCCCTGCTCCCTGTCTTGTACCTCTGGTGCCAGACTGTCATCTCTGGCTCTCCTTTTTTAGGGAATATTTAGCTACTAATCATTCAGATGGTCACAGGTCAGAGCACTGAGTGTAGACATGGCCTCTCTCTTCTCTGCCAACTATTGATGCACATAGGATACAGCCTCATCACCTGTAAAACTCTAGGGGCAGGACCACTCTTATTTTCAATGATGTCTCTACACGTGTGTCTTTCTGGAGATATGTGCTTGTGAGTGTAATTACCCAAGTATGCTAAAGATATCATTGGATCCCCCAAGAGCTGTAATTACAGGGTTATGGTTCACCCAACATGGGTGCTAGGAACTTAACTTGGGACCACTGGAAGGTTGGTAAGTACTCTTAAAGTCTAAGCATTTGATGCAGCCCCCACAGTTAGTGATTCTGAAAACTACTCTTGAACCTAAGTTTAACAAATTTCCAAGCTAGATAATCTCCATTTTGTTTTTATATAGTTCTTCTTATTGATATTTGATCATAAATAAGAGTATTATGTGATAAATTTTCTGTGTAAAGAATAAGGATTTTTAAAAGGTCCAATTGTTACATCTGATTATTTTATTTTCTATATTTCCTATTTTATGCTAAATATGTCTTGGGTCAGATTTCTGCAAATCAAATACCGTATAATTTGAATATATTCAATATTATTGTGAATTTAGACCTTCTATGCCAGTGGATGTTCTTCCCACATTTCTCTGTATAGTTTCCCAACCTTTTCTCCATGATGTTTTAGTAATTTAATCACCAAATCTATTCAAAACTGAACAATATGCAAGTCTATTTTCTGTCTAAAATTTACAGTGGCGAGTTGCTAACCTCTGAGTAGAGAATTTCATGCTTATTCTTTTTCCATTTCCACAAATTCTTCAACTTTTTTGAATTGTTCAATCATTTGACTTTTCTCCTATCTCAGTGTATTCATTGTTATAACTCACTCCTCATGGATCCATTCCTCAACCATTCTTTAAACAATGTTATTCCTCCCCTAACTGCCTTGCAAATCCAGATCACTGCTACAGATTTCCTTAGTGATTGTGCGCATGTTACTAACTAGTAGCTAGAGAAATATTTAAAGGTACAGTTTGTATGTAACTCATTAGTGGTTACTGAATCACCAGTCTCCAGTCTGAGCTAGGTTTTACTTTGTGACCTATTCTGAAGTGTTAACATACATCCTAGAACTTCCTTCTTTTATGTTTTTCTAGAAATAGATACCTTATCTCGATTTTTGGTTCTTTTCTGATTGTTTTATATTTGTCTTCTTTATATTTGTCTGATATACATATCAGTGTTTCCAATACTCCTCGAAATTGAAGTTGAGGATTCCAATTTAATTACATTTATTCTAACTTATGGTCTTTTATATATATAAGTGATGTACTCATATAATTTCTATGTCCTCAAGGAAGTCTTTCATATCTCTCTGTGTTTCCATAGTTGTGTGATGAGTCATCCTTCTCTTAGTGCCAAGATCAACTTCATACGATTTAAGGTCTCAAGAGAGCATCATGTTTTATGTTTCTAGTTACTCCTTATTTGCCCTCTTGTAATGAACAATACAAATAGTCATTATGTTTTCCTTGATGTCTCTTTATCCCTAGCATTTATATTTTATAACTAAATGTTTTCTATTATGTCTTCTTCCTACTTGCCATTCTAATTTAAAAAACAAACAAAAAAGTAGAACAAAATAATCAAACTAAGAAGAAACAGAATGGGAAGAGTATGAGATTCAGAGGGAAAGGGAGGAAGATAAGAGAGGGTGATATGAATAAATATTATCACAAAACATTGTGTGTATGCATGAACTGTAAAATGCTAACCACAATATTTCATATAGTAGATCATGAGCATTTTTTCACCCAAGGAGTAAAGAAAGAAATTAAAAATAAAAAAAATGTTAAAAATGAAAAACAATACATTAAATATTATGAAATATGAAAAGAACAATTTAAGAAATAAATTTGTAGCAGTAAACACCTACTTTAAAAAGAAAAAGCAAGTATAAACCAGATATCACAGTTCAATAAATTAGAAAAAGATGAACATATGAAGCATTTATTAAAAATGTAAAACGGAATATTATAGCATATGGAAATTAAATAGATGAAAGAGGAACAATTACAAAATTGACAAACATTTAATTAGAGTAGCATGAAAAGCATCCTCAAATAATACTAAAAATAAAGAAGACAGTACGACTAACATTAAAGTAACACAAATAATATTGAGAGCTTTATGAACAATTATATGCCAATAAATGGTATAATTTAAAATAAATGATAAGTATTTGGAAATATACAACCGATAAATGCTGAGTCAAAATAAGAGAAAACTTGAAGAGAATCGTAATGAATAATATTGTCCTTCTAAGGAAAGTTCAGGAAGTACTGAGGTCACCAAATATTTACAGAACTGTCAATCTTTAAGAAACTTCAACAAAACCCTAAAGACACAACACTTCCAAACCTGTATTAAAAGGCCAGTGTTGACAAGGTACACAAGAACACTACTGAGAAAGAAAACCAATGCCAAATTTCCCTGTGAAATATGGATTTTTAAATTCTTTAATAAAACACTTGCAAATAAAAATCAACAGCACGTTAAATGAATCATTTACATTGGCCAAGTGTGACTTGTGTCAGGAATGCAAAGATGGTTTCAGTACATATGAATCAATAAATACAATAGGCTACATGAATAAAATTAAGGGGTAAAAGAATATAATCACCTCAATATGTGCAGAGAAAGGTACTAAGAAACTAAATGTCCACAGTAATAATTCTTAGTAAATTAGGTAGAGATAGAGTGTATATTGCTGTCTCAAAGATACTTGAAAAAAATTGGTCTGTAATCAGTAATTAGACAATGATGGTCACTCTCATTATTTACATGTAACATTAAATACAATATTAAAAGTCTAATTGAGAAAAAAAATAAAAGATAATCAGAAGGAAAACTTAACTGCCCCAAAGGATGTGATGTCTATTACCTATCACATGTCTATATGTCAATCATCTATCTATCTATCTATCTATCTATCTATCTATCTATCTATCATCTATCTATCTATCATCTATCTATCTATCTATCTATCTATCTATCTATCATCTATCTATCTATCTATCATCTATCATCTATCTATCTATCTATCATCTATCTATCATCTATCTATTTATCTATCTATCATCTATCTATCTATCTATCTATCATCTATCTATCATCTATCTATTTATCTATCTATCATCTATCTATTTATCTATCTATCATCTATCTATCTATCATCTATCTATCTATCTATCTATCATCTATCTATCATCTATCTATCTATCTATCTATCATCTATCTATCTATCTATCATCTATATCTATCTATCTATCTATCATCTATCTATCTATCTATCTATCTATCATCTATCTATCTATCTATCCATCATCTATCATCTATCTATCTATCTATCATCTATCTATCTATCTATCATCTATCTATCATCTATCTATTTATCTATCTATCATCTATCTATCTATCTATCTATCTATCATCTATCTATCATCTATCTATTTATCTATCTATCTATCATCTATCTATCTATCATCTATCTATCTATCATCTATCTATCTATCATCTATCTATCTATCTATCTATCATCTATCTATCTATCTATCTATCTATCTATCTATCTATCTATCATCTATCTATCCATGCATTACCATAACTGTCTATTTTTCTGTCATCTAGTTTTCTATCTCTAAAGGCTCCATCAAAAATCTACTAGAACTTCTAAATCCTTAGTAAAATAATAGTTTAGAATTCAGTTTAAAATAAGCAGCACTCCTAAACACTTCACACAAACTATCTGAAAAAGAAACCCAAAACAGTCATATTTATGAATAGTTATTAAATGTAAATCTAGGAATAAGTGTAATCCTTGATCTCTGTGTTAGTGTTCTATTGCTGTGAAAAGACACCATGTCCAAGGCAACTGTAATCAGAGAAAACACCTAATTGAGGACTTGCTTAGAGTTTCAGAGGTTTTAGTTTCAGAGTTTTAAACCTATTTTCATCATGGCAGGAACCAAGGCAACATGCAGGCAGACATGAAGCTGGAAAAGAAGCTGAGAGTTCTACATCTAGATCTGAAGGCAGCAGGAAGAAATAAAGCCACTGTGCTCGCCTTGGGCTTCTGAAACCTCAAAACCCACATCCAATAGCCCACTTAAGACCACACCTACTCAAACAAGGGTATACTTCCTAATCCCTCCCAAATAGTGACACTCCCTGATGAATAAAAATTCAAACATGTAAACCTATTAGGGCCATTCATATTCAAACTACTACATTCCACTCCCTGAGGCTTGTAGCTATATCACAATGCAAATATGTATTTTGTCCAAGTTCAAAAGTTCTATAATCTATTTATAGCATCAATACTGTTCAAAATCTAAAGTTCAAAATCTCTTCTGAGACTCAAGTCAATCTCTTAACTCTAACCCCCTGGAAACATCAAAATAAAGAAGCAAATCACATACTTCTAACCTACAATAAAACAGAATATATATTACCATTGCAAAAGGGAGGGAAGAGAGCATAGTAAGAAAATACAGGATCAAAATACTAGACTTACACCTATCTAACTCCAAATTCCATACCTTCATGTCTGATATCAAAGTGCTCTTCAGATCTTCAGCTCCATTCAGCTTTGTTGACTACAACACATTTGGGCTTGTTCCATGCCCTGTTAGCAGCTCTTTACATCTATTCCTTGTTGCTGGACTTCTGTGAAGGAACAATCCTGACAAGCTTGGCTTCAGCATCTTTTTGTTTTAACCTGAGAAGGAAGATTTTATAACTTGCTTCTTGTATTCTTAGCTATCAAGGCCAGAATCATATTGTTAAAGCCGCCAGTTTCTGTGGCTCACTGAGGCTGGACCTTAGCCTCTTTGTTCAGTTATATTTGCCTCAACTCTGTTGCGAATGGTTTTCTTCACTTCTTAAACTTTTCTTTAGTTGCTTTGCATAAGTTAGAAACTTAGCTGGGTGGGGTCTGACTCTAGGTCACCACTTCCTTTATTCCTTTTAGCTTCAAGCTCTTCTTTAAACCTTTTATCTCCTCAAGCACTGAGCTTAGCTCCATTATACTTTCTGGTCCTC